ATTTATCTTTTCAAAAATATTTTTCTTTTTATTTTCTCTAAACTTTCTTTTAAAAATAATCTATTATTAATCTAAATAATGATATTTTTATTAAAATATTTTTTTACTACTTCACTTAGTTATTTTTCTTATTTATTTTCTTTTTTTTATTTATAAAAATAAGTATTAGAGAATATCTGAATTGATAATTAGGATTAATAATACTTTAAATATAAATGAATTTCACATAATTTTTTTTCTTTTTCTTTTAAATAATAATATTCTTTTTGTATATATATTGAAAATTGCAGAATTTTATGTAAAATATTTTGAACTTACAAATATATATTTTAAGCTTTACCTATTATAAAAATCAGTTATAATTTAATTGATAAATATCAAATATAAAAATAAATTCACTTTTAAATTTAGTATTTAAATTTATTATAGTAATAACTATATTATAAAATTAACTAAGTATTTTTACTAGAAATTTAAAGAAAGACATTTATTATTTTTTAATTTTATTTTTTTTAGAAATTAATTTTAATTAGTTTAATATTGATAGATTTGTTTTTTAATTTAAAAAATGTAAATAAATAAAAATAGAATTTTAGTAATAGCTATACTTTATTTTATTTTAGTTTAAAAGAATTAATAGATATTTAAAAAAAATAATAGAGTATTAATAATTTTTATTTATATTTACTATTAAAGAATAGTCATTAAAAATATTATCTAGAAAGAAATACAATCAACTTTTTATAATGCACTTTCTTTAAGATTAAATATAAAAATGTATTTAAAGAGAATGTATATTTATAGAAAAAATATATAAATCTATATAATATTAATTTATAATTAAGATAATACAAAATATTTATAAGTAAACTATATAAAATTTTTTATAAAGAGTACATTTATAGAAAGTATATATTGTTAATAGAGCAATTGACCAATAATAATGAAGTCACATGAAAAACATAGTATGATAATCTCCTAATTTAGAATTCTAAAAATACTGAGGATCTATATAATTTTGCAAATCTTTCAAATACTGAAGATAATTCTAATTTTACAAATTAAATGAAATCTAGAAATATTTAATGTTATACTTATTTGTAATATTCTAATTTTTATTATTATTTTTATTATATTTTATATTTTTATTATTTTATGTATTTTTATTTTACTTATATTTTATTTATTAAATTAGCTAGTTTATAGTATAATAAATAGTTAGCTGTGACAAAAGAAATTTTGTATAAATAGATAAACTTTTTACTTATGTTATAAATTAACTTTTTTGCAAGTTAAAGTAATTCATTTATAATATAAGTTTCAATATTAATAAAGGAATTATTTAAAATTTATATCTTTCTATCTCTTTGTGTCTTTATATAATCTGATATAATCCTTATACATTATTTGTAATTAAGTTTGTCATCTGAATTCTTTAATTAAATTGTTTGTAATCTCGCCTCTCAAGTTTTCATATTTAATAAATTTATTTAAGTTTAATATGTATATTAAGTAAAGTTAAAAATTAGGCAGATCCTAATGTCTTAATTATAGTAAGCCACAATTAATAACCTTAAGTAGAGACTTGACAACATAATAAACCTGAGTTAAAGAATTCCACAGTGATAATATATATAAAAAATATGTATTTAGCATTAAAACTCAAGTTGGAATCAAATAAAAAAATGCATATATAAAGGATATGCATTTATAAAGAATACATTTATAGAGAGTTGACTGTAAACTTAAAATAGAATATAAAAAGTAATTATAATTTTTATTTAGTTTTTTATTTGTATTTTTAAATTATTTACTATTTTAATAAAATAATAAAAATATTCACATTGTAAGATATAAAAAAAGTAAAATCATAAAGGAGAATTAACAGGACTCTAAATATCTCTTATTTAACTCATAAATAATATATTTTTTATAATAATTCATTTAATATTAATATTAGAAATATTATTATCATTAGATTCTTTTTATCAAGATGATTCTAATGAATCTAAGATCATTAAAATCTAATTACTAATTAGCTTAAAAATTAAAATATATTAAATAACAAATTTAGAAAACTTCTTATAATACGTAATTTTTACTAAAAGTTATATATAAACTTTACGCAAATTTTAATTTAAATTATATAAAAGATTTTAGGTCTTAGATTAGTGATTTAATTTAGTAATAATTTAATTCCTATAATGAATTATATTATATAAACTAATTTAGCATTAATCTAATGTAGATTATAATATTAATTTATTATAAGTTTACTAATTTAATTTTAAAATTTGATTTTATAAAGTGCATGTAAACTAAAGCTCTGAATGGTTCAGATTAATCCAAAAATTTTCAGTTTAGATCAACTTCGGTTCAGTTTCGGATTGCAAAAAATTCAATCTGAAAATTTTCGATTCAATTCAGATTTTTTTTTCAGATTATAAATCTAATCCAAACCAAAAAAAATCTGAACTGAACTGAAAATTTTGGAGTAATTTGAAATTTCAGATCGTTTGGAACGATAAGAAAATCGTTTGATTGGAACGATCAAATTATCATTCTAAATGAACGATAAAAGAATTGTTTGATTAGAACGATCAAAATAACATTCTAAATGAATGATAATAAAATCATTCGATTAGAACGATCAAATTATTGTTCCAATTGAATGATAAAAAAATCGTTCAATTGGAACGATCAAAATATCGTTCCAAATGAATGATAATAAAATCGTTCGATTAAAACGATCAAATTATCGTTCTAAACGAACAATAAAAGAATCGTTCAATTAGAATGATCAAAATATCATTCCAAACGAACGATAAGAAAATCGTTTGATTGAAACGATCAAATTATCGTTCTAAACAAATGATAAAAGAATCATTCAATTGAAATGATTGAAATTATCATTCTAAATGATCTGAAATTTCAGATTAATCTGAAATTTTCAATTCAGTTCAGATTTTTACCAGTTTACGGTTCAGTTCGATTTCAGATTGGCATTTTTAAGATTTTTAATCTGAACTGAACCAAACCAAAATTTTCAGTTCAGTTTCAGATTGGCCTATAATCTGGACTGAACTGAACTGTTTAGAGCATTAATGTAAACTATATAGGTTCTTTGCAATAAAAAGGGAAAAAACTACCAAAAAAATTTTTTTTTGTTTTATAAGCTAAATATTATTTTTTTAATAAAATAAGTTTAGATTTAACATTAACTCAAAAAAAATTTTTTTGGTAGTTTCCTCCCTTTCTATTGTAAAGAGCCCATATATGTAAATATATATTTTAATACTAATTAATTTTAATAATATTAAAATTAATTACATCAATTTAATATTTATTATAAATTATTAATAAATATTTATGTCTGTTAAAATATAAATTAATTAGTAATTTATTAATTTACATTGAATTATACATAAATAGATTGCAAACTTATAAAATATATTAATTTTGATACTTACATAATTTATGGTAATTTTTAAATATAAATCTGTAAATTATTTTATTATTAGACTTTCTTGATAATAAATAAAAATTATAATAATTTAACTTACTAAAATTAATTGAATTTAAAATTAAATAGTTAATAAGAATTAATATATAATAAATTAGTATTATATTATCTTGAGTAATTAGTCTTCAGATAATATTTAATAGTAGATATTGTGAAATAATAACATAAATTATTAAACTTTAGTTAGTTAATCTTATAATACTTTTAAATATCATGATATCTAAACCTTATACTAAAATTTAAAAATTGAATATAATTTTCAAGTTATTTAATAGTATAATGAGCTTAATCTATATTTTTAAATTTAAATAAGATTTTGCTTAACCTTAACTTCTATTTAATAATATGATTAAATACCTAATAATGATAACTGATATTTTTAAATACTTTTAGTTAAAATTTTAATTTAATATAATATCTATTAGACTAATAATTAAATTTATTAAACTAGATTTAAATAGACTTAAAGAAGTGATTAGGTAAATAATTTGTTAATTTATTTTTAAATTATAAACTTAAGCATTAATAAATAGTAAACTCAGTTTTTATATTAGAATACCAAAAAAAAAGTTAAGAATTATATAGTAATAATGATTATAATCAATATAGAAATAATTTATTATTATTTAAATCTATTTCACAAAATCAGGTGATTATAAAAAGTATGTTCATATAAGCATAATTATATAAGGATTGATTGTATAAGATTTGATTTTACCATTTACTAAAATGAATTTTATCAAATAACTATAATATTACAATTTTTATATAATTTTTTAAAATTAATATTTTATTAAAATTTATAATTTAATAATATTTTCAGAATTTATTAAGAATTATAAATTCAAAAATATAGTTATTAAATCGTTGCAAAAAATCTTTTTTGTATCTTGTTTGTAAATTTCTAAAATTCTTATAATATTTTTATAATTAAAAAAGCAAATTGTATTTAATATTATAAATTTTATTTATTATATTAAAAATATAATTATTATTTAATTGAAATAATAATATTAATTTAAAAAGATTTTTTTTTATTAATCTATTTATATAAGTGAATAATATTAATTTAAAAATTTTTGATTTTTAATTTTACTAATTTTATAATAATGAATTTCAATTATTATATATAGTATAATAATTTTAGCTAATATTATAAGATTTAATATGTAATTAAGAAATTTTAAATAGTAATTAATTCAGAATTACATGAATCATTATAAAAGTATTCTTATCACTTATTTGTAATATTTTTAAAGTCAGTCAAATAATAAGAAGGATAGTTTAAAGGTTTTTTATATAATTGCTCTTTTTTCTTATCATTTACTTGAAAAATTCCAGTCCATCAAATATATGAAACATCACACCGGTGACAAATCATTTAACCCTAACCTACCTAACCCTAACCCTTACCAATCTCAATTATACCAATTCAAAATTTTTAAATAAAAATGGACTTAAATTTTAATTTTTTGCTATGACGACGAAAATTAAATTAATAACATTCGACGCGTTCGGAACCCTATTTCGTCCACGAAATGGAAAAATAGGACATTTATACGTAACAGATCTGCTATCTTTATTTAATTGGTATTCAAAGATTTTTATTAAATAAATACTCCAATTAAATTAGGCAAAAGAAGCTGCAAAGTTTGGAATGAAATTAGAAGGATCCTTAATAGATAAAAAATTTAGAGAATCTTTTCGAAATGTTTATAAAATATATCATAATTATGGCTACGATAGTGGATTAAGTTCAAAAGAATGGTGGTCTAAGGTATAGAAAATATAAGTGAATCATATATATATTTTATAATTTAATTTTAGATGAACACTGTAGGTGATTGAAGCAACATTTATCGAAGCTGGAATTGATAAAAGAGGTGATTTATTACTCAAAAATAAAGGAATCATTTTTTTAGTCTTCAATTCTTTAATCTTCATTCTCTACAATAAAGATTTATTACCCATCTTACCAATGTTGTCCACAAATATATACAAAAAATTTACAACCTCAGAAGCCTATGAATTATATGATGAAACTGAATATGTGTTAAACGAATTACATAATGTCAGAAAAATTAAATTGGGGGTCATAAGCAATTTAGATGAAAGATTAGGTATGTAAGTACATAACCATTATTTCTTAGTCATAAGATTATACTATATTTACTAATTTAATTTATTTGAAGAGAGAATACTTTCTTCATTACAAATACATCAGTATTTTAATTTCAATTTATTGAGTGGTAAATTTGGTGTTGAAAAACCAGATGTTAAAATATTTAAGAAAGCTTTAGAATTGGGTGGAATTAAAGAAGGGAATGTTAAACAAGTATTACATATTGGTGATGACGAAGTTAGGTCGGTATTTAGTATCCTCATTTAAGGTTTTATATATTTTTCATTAATTTAATTTGTTTTTATAGAGATTATCAAGGAGCAAAGAATATTGGTATAAATGCATTGTTGATAAAAAGAACTGAAGATACAAATTCAAAAGAAATAATTAAAAATACTCAACCAAATCAACCAGAAAAACATCATTATGTTATTCATAATTTAAACGAGTTATTTAATTATTTATAGTATAAAGATACAAATTTATAAATTGTTTATATATACAAAGGCATAATGATTTATTATCTGGAAAATATTCCATAGAATAGCCAAAAGTGTTAATTAAATGACAAATATGCAATCTAATCCTCAAATGAATCGATTTTAATCAAATTTGTTTATCGACATCAGTAAGAGGGACATACTGTAAATAGAATGAAATTTTTAATCGATTAGAAAAAAATTAAAAATTTTCGTATTTAATATCATCTAACATATTTTGATACGGTACCATGACTCCCATCAATTCTTTCCGTGTTACTTTCCCATTTTCGTCCTTGTCAATCTGATAAATGGACTGAGATTTAACTCCAACAGGAACAAACAACCTACATATAAAAATAATTTGATTTCATATCTCGAGGTATATCTGGATGCCCTAAGTTTAACTTACCGTCCAGGTGCTTTCAATTGATCAATCAATGCATGAGGTTCTTTTTCTGCGGCGGCACCAACATGGCTGTAAAGAGTTCAGTGTTTATGGAAAAAACAAATTTAAAAAAACAAAAGCAATAAGAATGAAGAATCGTACATGCAGTCATAAGGTGACTCCTCCGGATAACCCTTTCTTCCATCTCCATGAACCAATATGATTCTTTGAGATTCCAAATATCCCGGTCGATCTTTTTGAATATTTCTTCTCGACATGTCAACAAGTTCCTTAATGTGTTCTATGCCAATAACTTTCCCCTCCGGTCCAACCTTTAATGGTATATAAATATATAAAAGTGAATTAAATAAAAACGTAAATCATTAAAAACCAACTTTTAATTTACCATTTCTGAGAAACAAGCTGTTAAATATCCGGAGCCACATCCGACGTCCAAAACTACAATATGTAAAATGACGCGTGTTTTGATTGTTTCTGCAACAAAATACACGTAAATAACGCTCACTTACCTTTCATACCGGGCTTTAAGAAAGGTTCCAAATATTGAAGAGCGTAAGCGTGCATATGACTTTATGTAAAATGAATTTACGAAATAATTAGCTCAAAATCTTCATAACCTTAAAGCTAAATCATTAAGGGACGTCGACATTATGCTTACGGTGCGGAAATAGTGGCACCGAAACCCAATGGCTGAGGAGTGTCATTATATGGACCCTGTGATACATAATTTTTTCTATCAACAGCTTTCATGGCTTTCTCAACCCCTTCTGATTTAAAAATCTTGGCCGTTTTCAAGTTATTCACAAGTCCCTCATTGCTATTAGCAGAACAATACCAAGCCATCTTTGAGGAAAATGTGTTTTCTAAAGAAAAGTTTACTTTATTATATGGAAATAAAGTTCTTGATCCGCTTAAAATAGAAGAATTTGAAGTGTTGCATCCAGAAGTTAACGAGCTATTAACTGAAGATATAAAAGAATATAAAAAAGAGCAAGACAAAAGGGTTGCGGGAATAGAAAGCTTTTTAAATAACAGTCTATTTCCTATATTTTGGAGAAATGGCATGAGAAAAAGATATCAAAAAAATATTTGAGAATGATCGACATTCATTTAACATCTTTCTGATGTCATTACTGATTCTAGTGCCGCAGTAAGTGCGTCATGTTTATAATCTTTTGGGTGATTAGACTTTTATGATCTTTTCTTTTTCCAAGAGTAAGATAAGGCAAAAAGTCAAATTATTACACATTAATTAAAACGCAAAACTGCAATGATTTCCGAAATCAATTTTAGTATATAGAAAACATTTTAAACTTAATTCTTTAAATCGTTCGTAGAAATGAGTCAAAAAAGTCAGAAAAATAAAACTTTGCGGGGTAAGGTAGTTAGCAATAGTGAAGAAGAGGAAAAGAGACAGTCTCAAAAAAGTAAGGAAAACTCAAAACAATCTATAGCTTTGTGCGCTGCACCACCTAAACTGAGTTTTTTTGACGAGATAGAAGAAGTGTGTACTTTTTAGAACAAATTATTTTCAGTTCTAGACTTTAAACTGAATGTAATAATTTTCATTTATTATAGTCTGATATAACAGAATATAGACCTTTAAAACGTATTTCGAAAGATATTCCAGTCAATCAAAGAAACAAAACTCAAGGAACAAAGACAGGAACCAGCATAGAATTAAAGTCGCCTTCTAATGATCAAACTTTAGAAAATCTAGTTATTAAAAGTGCAAATAAAAGGCTTGAGATTAGAATAAGTGATCAATCTGGAAGAGGGTTATTTGCTTTGCAAAATATTTCTCCTGGTACCTTAATTTTAAATTACACGTACAGCGTTTGTTTCCAATCTATAATTATTCAACTTTGAAAATGATTAAACAGGGGCTCTTGTTATGGAAGATATACCCTACTCCGCCGTTGTAGATGATGCAAACTTTTTTACAACCTGTAGTCATTGTTTTATGAAAGACGGAAAGTTGTCATGTTGTTCGGCTTGTAAATTAATTCATTATTGTTCTAAGGTTGGAAATAAGCTACAATAATCTTTTCGTGATTTAATTATTTTGGCGCTGAGTTTCGTGTCTTGTTAATTGTACAGGAATGCCAAAGTAATGATTGGTCAAATCATCAGCACGAGTGCAAAGTTTTTGTTAAAGTGCAAAGAAAACCACCTACTTCAATTCGTTTACTATGCCGGATCTTGATGCGCCGCATGAGTGATCCGGCATCAGTATGTATTGGAATTTCTTTTTAATTATGGCTAGGCAAAGTTTATGGTGTATAAATTTTTCTATAAAGATATTGCTATTTTACTTATTATTCAATATTTAATATTTTAGTTCAAAGAGATCGAAAATTTACAAAGCAGTATCCAAGATTATTATAGCTGTTGGGGAATAGTCAATTTGTTTTATTTATTGATAATTATATTTTCCTTGACAAACTTTGTCTAATGTAGATAGACATTTATTCAAGCAAGAACAAATAGAGACATTTGCTCAAATTTCCATGGTGATCCGTGATTGCGTACCTAAAGATGCCTTATTATCTGCATCGGAGATGATTGAATTATTTTGTCGTGTATTTATCATTCTATTTTTAGTCTCATGTCTTTTTTCTTTATTTTACATCTGGTTATATGGATTTTATTGTTAAGTTTACAGAAAATAGTTTCTCAATTTTGGATGGAGAAATGATACCCAATGGTGTAGCAGTTTATCCTAATGCTTCTTTAATAAATCATTCTTGTCGTCCTAATTGTATTATCGTCTTTGAAAAATCAAAAATGATGGTTCGGTGTATTGAACCTATTGTGATAGGTCAAGAGGTACTTTTATAGAAAAATTAAGTAATAATCATTTATAAGAATAGTTTTATGAATAATTATGCTTTATAGATTACAATTAATTATACTGATTTGAGTCAATCAGGAGAAGAGCGACGAAAAGAATTGCAAGATCGTTACTTTTTTTTATGTCGATGTGAATTATGTGAATATTATAAGGTAAATAATATTTTTATAATTATATAATATATATAGATTGATTTAATTTTTTATTTAATATGTTTAGTTAAAATCTCACGTAGATCCAAGAAGCGCGTTAAGGTGTCAAAATCCAAACTGTTTGAATGCAATTGAACCACCGGGTAATTTATTATATCATATATTATTATGGCTTTTAATCTATTTTATTAAATTTGCTATGTTATGCTATTTTAGAATTATTGGAATTGGAAGTTGAAGAATATTCATCAACGTGTTCAATTTGTTCAAAGAAATTACATTATGACGTAGCAGATGTAGAAAAAAAATTATCAATAGCTATAGAATTGTATGACAAGGGATCAAATTTACGCGACAGAGGTAAAAAAAACTTCTCCCATTTGCTAAAATGAACATTTTTAGTTATATCATTTTAAAAAAAATTTTTTTAGATGATCGTCAAGCAATAACCTTTTTCGAACAATCGTTCAACATTCAAAATGAGCTTTTACATAAAGCAAATTATTATTTAATGAGAACGTGTAAATCAATGGTTGAAATCTATTGTAATTTAAGAGATTGGAAGCATGCGTTAATTCATTCATTTGAATTAATCGAATCTTATAGAATTCTGTATAGTAAATTACATCCATTGTTAGGTATCCAACTCTATTCCACTGCAAGAATTTATTTATCATTTAATGATAATGAAATTGATATTAAATATCTTGAAAAAATTGAAGAATTATTAAGAGAAGCATTAAAAATTTTAGAAATTACTCATGGATTTAAACATCCTCTTACTAAAATGGTTGAAATGAATTTATGGGATGTTGAAGGGGAAATCAAAACTAAAAAAAAAAAGCAATAAATCAATAAAATTTATCAGTTTATTATAATAAAACTTGAAAATTAATAATTATAAAACAAAAATTATATAATGATTTTTATTATAATTAATATAATTAATATTTTGATTTTATTACATAATAATAAAAATTTGAAGAAAGTTGATTAATAAAAATATAGAAGATAATTTTACATTTTTAAAAGAATTATTTAATATTAAATGAAATAATTAGTGATATATTGAATTTTTTTTTGAAGATAATGATATTATTTAAAATAATAGTAGTATTATAGAAATTAAGCTTTTAAAAAAAAAGCAAATGCTATTTTAGATAATGAGTGATTTTAAAATTGATAAATTTATTTATCATTTTTTAATTTTTATCAAAATTATCTTGTACATTAATGATTATTATATTATTATTAATAATGAAATTATGATTTATCTTATGATATTATATCATATGATTTTAATATTACAACTGAAATTATTGCTATCATTTTCTTTATTATTATTATTATATATATTATTATTATTAATTACTATTATCTTTATCAGTAATTTTTAAATCAAAATTTAAATTGATTAAAATTTCATATATCTTGCAATATAAAAACCTCAAATTTGCTTAATCGTGATATTAGCGTTTCAAATAGCATAAAGTTGTAATATAGCATCTCTGAAAGTACTTTAAGCCATATAAAATAATTTTCAACTGAATTATGTAATATTCAACTAAAAATAGGTACAGTCCCACCTGTACCATATGTCAGACTAATAAAGAATCTGCAAGATAACAATAACACATATTCAACATAGTTAAACTAAAATTTACCAAATAAAATTTCCTTTAACAGCAACAACCATCATGAAAATTCTTTCTCTTATTCAATAGTAACAACCAAAAACTTATACTCATTCTTAAACAACAGGAACTTCCTTAACAACTCAATAACAACAACAACTATTTTGTCAGTATGTGCTGTTATTAATAAAAGTTCAAATAATTTTTACAGTTAGTAGCAATTAGTTAATAACCATTTATAATAATATATATATATAGAACATAATCATATCAAACTATCCTTTGTTATTTCAAGTATATTCGCCATCTGGATATAACCTAAAAATAAGGAATTTTTATTACCTATTAGGTTTTAATATTTTTATAAGGTCTTTTTACTGAAAAATTACTTTTTAACTCTTAATTTCAGATATACTATGACATATTATCTCGTATTAGGTGAAATTTCTGCTAAAAGGAAACTTAATTTTGTTAAGTTCAATTTCTCAGAACGTGTTATGATACTCAAAAATGCTATCTATGATAAGAAGAAAAACGTCTTTTCCAATAAAAGTATTGATAAAATTTATCTCATATTATGAAAAGTCAATATTCCTTTCGACAGTGATGATAAGCTGAAGATGCTTGATGATACATTTAATACAATTAAATTGAACAAAATCTTGAGAGAAAGGAAATATTACCAGTAGACGAAATTTTAAAATATTTAAAAAATCTTAATAAATTATTATCCTCAATCTACATCCTCATACAAACGTCTTCACTTGTTACTTCTGGTAAGTGTCTCCCAATGGTTTACCTCTCAAATAAGTCACAGATCTTTTATTAATCAGCTTTTTTCTCTGTTTCCATTTTTTCCCATTTTCTCACAAAGAATCACTAATGAAAAAAGACATCTTTGGAAAATGGATCCTAAAGGAATATCTGTTATTTAAAGTAATAATGAGGTTTAACAGATCTCTTTGTCAAAATTAGAGTTCTAAGGATGTATATATTTCATTAAATATATGTAAACAAAACATATTGGTTAACTCAGCTTCAGTTAAATAATAGCCAATATTTCGTATCATAGCCTCAAAAATTTGATAAATCAATGTTTCTCTCAATGGTTAAATCTTTCTACTTGATTCAATATAATCTCTTTAAAAATCTGTATATATAAGATCATCTATTAAACATTTTTATCAATAATAAAGCAGAAAGATAGAATAAGAACTTGTCTCTGATCTCAGTTATCAGGCTTGACTTTTCATTGTTAATATTAGACAAAAGGTCAGAGATATTAGAAAAGGACTTGATTCAAGTATTATAATCAATTGAAGAGCAATATGGCATTGATATAGTGAATAATAATATTAAGAGTACCACTTTTAAATTAATTAAATCACTAGCTGATGATAATGAAAATAAGTATAGATAAGTGATAATTCTTATAGATGAATATGATTCACTAATATTAAATGTTATTAGTATTACAAAAGAAAGTATAAAATTACAAATGACAGTTATAGCATACTAAAGAGTTTTTTTGAAGTAATTAAGACATTGCAAAGTAAAGTTAAATTTCTTTCATTATGAATGTAATAATGTTTATATATTTAAATTTATTTTCAAGATTAAATAATCTTAAGGACGTAATATTAAGTAATAAATTATCTGAGATATATAGATTTACAAGTGATGAGATAACAAAAGTGCTTGAAGATAAATTATTAAATTTTTGCAAATCAGATCGTTATAATGATGTACAAGATATTATGAATAAACTTCAGAAAAAATATAATGGTTATTTTTAGGATGGTAACATTAAAGTGTATAACCTATATAATATTTACAGTTTTTTTGATAATTTTGAATATGAAAACTTTTGGATTCAAAAAGGGAAAACCAAATTTTTTGTTAAATTGATTGGTACAGAACATGTTAAGAATATAATAGATTAAATCACAATAAAGAAGAGATTAATTGTACTTATTGATGTTATTGATATACAAATATCATTTGACTTTTCCACTTTATCATTATTCTAAACTGGCTATTTAATTATCAAATAATAGAAAATAGATTATGATGACAAACAGTGTTTAGTTCTCAAAATTCTAAATACTGAAGTGAGAGAATCTCTGATAAGCGAATTATAGGCTTATTTATATGATATTTCAATAGAAACTGCATACAAATGAATTTACATATTAGCAAGACTTCTTAAGAATGATAATTTTATTAAATTTATTAAAGTATTTAATGATAATTTAGCATTTATCCTATATATAATGAAAGTCAATATGCAGGAGATTATAAGGGTTATTACCATTTGCATGTCTATATATTAATGCGTTATATTGGATTGTTATTTTAGAAAGAGGACGTTACGAGTCAAGGCAGAACTGATATGTGAATAATGACAAATATGTCTATTTACTATCTTGAATACAAGCGTTACGTTCTACCAAAATCATCAAATGATCAAGTAATTAGAAACTTAATACAAGAAACAATAGAACAAATATTTACAAATGAATATTATGCTTGCTATACGAATTTTATAACAAGTTTTTATATGCTATTGAATATGTTTTTTTAACAGGAACTCGAAAAATATGTGGAGTTAGAATTCAAAAATTTACTTATAGGTCGAATAAACTTAAAAAATGGAATTACAATATTTTTTAGATAAATTTTCTTAATAGTCCCTTTCACTATTTCAATTATAAGATTTTTTTTAAAATTATTATTTTATAATTTGTGAACATATAAAAGAAAATGAATGTGTTCTTAGATAAAGAGTCAAAATTTTATAATCGATTATTGTAGGATATATTCATCAATCATTAATAGCAGTAATGAAATATAATTCATTGATAAAATATGTTTCGTATTTACATTAAATAATAAAGTATTTATCTTGCATTTGTACTTGAAATAATTAATGATAGTTATAAGATTTAAAAAATAATATTAATTTTTTCGATATGCCAATAATTTTGATAAAAATAATAGTGCTCTCTTCACTACTATTATATTTATTTTTACTCTGTCCTATGATCAAAAAGACTTATTTCTCAGCTTAATATTGAACATATACGTTGTCGCATTATAATTTGTCTTGATCAGTGAGTGTTATACATAAAATTTTTTATTAATACAAAAATAAGTAATATATAACGTTTCTATGCTAATGACTAGAACATATACTGTTTCATAAATCTCTATTTTTTCTTGATTATCACTTCTACACAGCGCTTCTTAGTTATGGGTTTCTCACTACTTACTACTTTATCTTTTAATAAACCTACTATGACCTCTAAAAACTTTTTTCACATTCTTATGCAATTCTGTATTATCTTTGAAAGCATCTTCTGTCAGTAAAATTTGATACTTAGTCCTGCTCATAATGATTATCTTTTTGTAGCACTAGTGGATCCTAAAAATTGAAGGAAGAGAGAATGAAATACTTTCACTTCAGATTGCGATTTTCTAAAAAATTTACCTCTAATTTAAATATATCATGATCTAATTGGATAATGTTAATCAGTTTAAAAAATAAGTTTTAGATCTGGTTTTTCAAAATGAACTGGTTTTTTAAAATTTTAAAAATAGAACTGGAAACTGAAAGAACTGATATCTTAAACTGTATTTTAACCAATTAATTAAGAATCGTCTTATTATAAGTAATTATCTTTTATAAATCTAAGAGTATCAACTTTAGTATAATCTTCACTTTTGTCTAATAAAAGCTTCTTTTTTTATTTTAATAAAACTATTAAAAAATGTATTATTAAAACAATTGAAAAATAGAACATTTTATTTGAATTGAAAAGTGTTTTTTAATATAAAGCTGTGATCTTATAAAGTATAAAAATTCTATATAAGTCATAAAGTTATAGATTCGAATATTTACGAAAACATGAGAAGTTTCTTAACTTTATGGATTACTTTAAATGGAATTTCAATATTTAAAGGATAAGAAAAACATTTTTCTATCTTGGGGTTAGATCTTTTTGATATCAATTTCATCATGTGATTGGTAATCGGTCCAATAAAATTGCCTTATTGAAAATTTTGTCAAATTCCAACTTTTTAGAATTCAATCTATGTTAAGAGTATCTTTTTACTCAAATATTGAATACATTTGAAATAGCATAGATTTTCGATTTCAATAGCATATATTTGTGCGATTGAGCACTATCTATATATTAGTATTCGTTGATGTCGA